AAACAAAATCACTGTTGGTGCTGCACATTCTTCCTTATAGTTCTGTAGGAGTTTTTATATTAAAAAATACAGATAAAATAACTATAAAGTTTATGACAATACAAATTGACTGGTGTGTAATACAGTGTTAAATATTTACCAGCATGAATTTTATTTTCTTTATTCCCTCAGTTAACTTATTTCCTTAGTAAAACTTTCTGACATCTTTCAGCAGTTTTTTCTTGTGAATTCAAGAATGAGCTTTCTTAATTTATGATTTCCATTGACACCATCTTAATCTACCCTCATTTCTTCTTCTGACTAAATCTCTGCTTGAAAGGAGAAACTTGAAAAATAGTAGGAGGTAAAGTGCAAGACTTCTAATGTACTGTTTCCAGTAACTGGAGAAGGCCTTCTGTGAATCTGGTCTTTGTGCTTAATAGTTGAATCTGGTACTAAGTGTATACATGTGCACCTATATACATGTATATAGTGTGTTGTATATATACACTTAATTGAAAGAACAGCCAGGAGGAGCTGGGGTGATGGTGTCAAGAGAAGTAGTAAACAAAATGTGTAGTGAAGTCTTCTGTGGAGTCATTCTTTCTCCAAAACAGCAGAAAACAAACAGCAAAGAAATTACAGCTTTGTATCATGATGCTTTTTTCTCTTTTTCTTTTTTTTTCAAGTGCACTTAAAAAAAGACAAGTTTAGATTCTTGCAGGAAAGGATTTTCCACATGTAATTCAGAAAGTATTATCCAGTGAAAATCAATGTTTTGTAGAAATTATACAGTATTGTGAGAATATTCAAAGTATGAAAGAAAGAGAGGGAAATGTGAGACAGAACACAACTGTCTGCAGTTCCGACTGTGTTGCCTTTTGGAGATAAGTATCTAAACCTTACCAGGATGTTTGCTTGAGGTGACTTGGATTGCATTAGATCCATCATCTTTCTTATTGTGACTAAATTAATGCTTCCACGCTCCCCCCCTCTCCCCCTCCCCTCCTTAAACCTGAGGGACAACAGGCGCAGATATTAGTCACATCTGAAGCACCATTAGTTGTGTAGAAGACTTAGCCTTGTCCATTTGGTCAGACCTTTAATAACGTTATTGCAGAAAGCCATAGAATTTCATTCCTTCTTTCATCTTTGTAGGGCTATATAAAGCAATTGCTCTAGTATGGTAATTGGAATGCCTCAGTATTAGGATATTATTCTGTTACTGCTAAAGAGTTAATCTCTTGATTTGTCATGTTTCTTGCTTTTTGCTCATATAGGAACTTGATTCAATGTAAAATAATTTCTTATCTTAATGATGATGCCAAACATGCTTTTTAAAACCAAGAGAGTTCTTGGTGGTGATGGTGACAAATATATTTACACCAAAACTTTGCTACTGCTGGCCTACGTGCTTATATTCAGGTCTTCTGATCCTGCATCGAAAGTTTGTCTTTACTGTCCCTTAATTGTCTTCCTGTACTTTCCTTGTATTGTGTCTACAGTTACTGATTTCTCTCTCTGTTTAAAAGTGAACACCTTTGATAGATGCAGTTAGAATGTTTTCAGAGGAGCATAAAAGTTGATCTTTTAGGGTGCAAATATGTAGATACAAGGATGCAAAATTAGCCCTAAGGGCATCAATCCATATAGACATTCATTAGTAGATTGTACTTTAAATCCTGGTTCTCAGTCTTTAACTAGTATAGTGCTACTTAAAGAGTCAAAGTAGTTGGTTGGTTTGTTTGCTTTTTTCTTGAAGATTCAAGGCAGCAAAACACTTTAATTAGTCTTTAAAAACTAGGAAGATGCAATTCAAAGGGCTTGAGTTATGTGTGTCCTAATGGGAGGCAGACATAAAAACACAAATATAACTAGTAGTGTCTATCTGTGGGATGTCTTTGTTGTGTCTGAAATCACTTAAAACGTTTCAGCTCTGAGTGCATGTTAATGTACCTTAAAATTCCTTGTCTCAAGAATGGAAGTGATCTCAAAGTCATTTACAGACACTGTGGGATGTTATTTTCTAAGTTAACCTGCCCTTTTGCTTGGGCATTCAGTCATCACGGGCGTAACTCCTAACATGAAGGCACATAGTAGTGAAAAGCAGGTAAAAGTTGTTTGCATTCTAGGCTAGGCAGGAAAAGTATGTGCCAGAATAGCCACCACCCTCTTCTCTGCAGCGTTACAAACTGTTAACAAATACAGGAAATGTACTTTGCTAAAAGCTGTGCAGTGTGGAGATCTACTATATTGTTCATGGTATGTTTTGCTTCAGTGCTTGTCTCTCAAAGCATTTAACTTAAATTTTTGAGTGATTCAGATTGTAGTTTTGAAGTGTATACTTTTTTAGTATACTTCCTGTAGAAGATGCTCGACAAATCTGTATTGTGCTTGTCTTCACTTGTGCAGTGGATCAGTGTTAAATGCTTTATGAAGCAAAACCTAATTTTGTATTTTAAGGTGTTTGGGGTTTTTTTTCTTGTGCAGTCTTACTGCTTTTTTCCATGATACAGTAGAACTTCAGTCGCAAGTTTCAGTTCCTTGCAGATGCTTATAAAAATGCAATAGGTTACTTCATGACAACCTGTCGTGAAGTTCTTAAGGACATTTAAAGGTTTCATACTTTTTCAAAAGGGTGGGGTTTTTTTTTGTTCTTGTAACACATTGAAAGATATAAACTTCATGTGGAAAAGATGCTAATTCCTAAAATTTCATAGAGATTTAAATTACTGTGATTTGAAGTTCTACTACATAGTGTATGTTTCATCTGTACTGGGGAATTAGTATTTCAAGCTGACAAGTTCTTGCTCTTGCTCTTTTTTCATAATTTTGCAAGGAACATTTTATTTTTTTGGCAAGTCTGTCTGTTTGGTTTTTTAAATCTTGTTATGAGGACACATCTGTGACTTTGCAGTACAGTCCTTGAGAGAGAGCTCCATTCATGGGAATATGCACTTAGAGCAGAGGACCTAAAGTTGGGATTCCAGTGGTCTGAATTTGGCTCTCTAAAATATTTGGCATGTGGTATTGCTGAATGGTATGTATTTTGGCTTTCCAAAGGTGCTGAATGTATCCAGCTTCCACTGAGTTCAGAAGTTTTCTTTCTGTATTTACTTCATTAGTATATGGAGTTGACGTACTATTCATTAAGAGGCCTGCCCATGTGAAATATATAAATAAATATAATCTTTCATGCAGTTGTTTCCATGTTAGATGCATACACAAGATTAATTTTCTGTTATATGTACTAACTGGTCACTCTGTGGGCAGATTCTGCTGTAACATGGAGTTTTTACAATCATTATTTCTGGTGTGACTGGTTATTATTTCTTTTTAACCAGCTTTGACATAACTTTCAACCTGTACATACAGGTTTCGTTATTTGGAAATGCTAATTCTTTTTAAATAAGCTTATATAAAAAAATATTTTAGAAGGCGAACTTGTGCTAGTGAAAGATGTGTGTGCTAGAGACTAAAATGTCTGCAATGCACTCATAATCCTTTATTATATAAAGCAAAACAGAGATGACCTCTGTCATGTGATCTGAAGACTAAAATTAATGACTGGGTCTCCAGATAAAGTGATAAAGAGTTCTACAGTTCTATAGCAAGATCTCTCGCATAAAACACTGGCTTCAGGTATTCTGCAACTAAAGTTATGGGAAGGATCTCTGTAAAAATGCTGGCTTTTCTTGAATTTGTAGAGAGTTGCAATTCAGAAGATCAGTATATTAAATGTAATTGTAAATAAAGACTTCAGAGTAAGGAAGGCGGTTTCAAACCAGCTCTATAGTGAAGTGCAGTAGTGTTTTGCATATGAGAAGCTTACACAAAATGTAACATTTCTCTTGAGCCCATGATAGGCAAATGTTATGCAACTTGCACATAGAATCACATCCTTAGACAATACAACTGTATGAGCAGCAACGATTTAACGCAAAACATTCTTTTGATCAAATAATTTTCTTTTGCAGCTAAATTTCAAATAGTGAAACGGCTGTCATATGTTGTGCATTGAGGTTGCAGAAAACATTTGTTCGGCTCAGCAAAAAGCCAACCCAGTCATTCACCAATTTAAAGACAAACTGTATTAATATAAAATAAAATGTTCTCAACTGCTTTTAAGTGCAGTAGAAAAACAGATGATATAACTGATATGAGAAAAGAGTAAAGCTGTAAGACCATTCAAAATAATCTGTTGTTTGAGAAGAAAGTTCAGATCTGCAAAAATGATTAGTGTGGATGATGCCTCCTCTCTGAGGCTCTTCAATGTCTTTGCAAAAGCTGTTTAGGCAGCAGAAGTGGATGAAGCGTAGGTGAAGAAACAAATCTGGGTTGCAGAACCAAAAGCCAACCGGAGTCAAGAACAAAACACTGATTCCCAGTCCTCTTCTGTCCACACAGTGGGCCTTCTTGTGTTTGTGCTCTTTCCTCTCTGAAAAGGAGAGGGGAAGAAAAATTTTTACATTACTTTCACTGAAGAGTACAAGATTTACTCCTTTTTTATTTTCCTATTTTAAGATGTCAAGAGACAGTTAAAATATAATGGTGGGGATTTTTTTGTTTTGTTTGATTATTTGTTTAATTTTTCCCCCCAAGTTTATACTTTGAAACCTAATGTAATTGATAATTAAAACACCTGTAGTAGAGAGACCAACTTCAGTTTTGTTTTTTCATTCTTTTGGGTGGTCACTTCTTACACTTTTTCTTGCTTTCTCTTGAACTATCTACTGATCATGAAAATGATTCTTTTTTCAATAAGCTGTCAGGGAATGTTGTTATGGTAATCAGCAGTGGGGTTCCCAAATGGAGATATATATATATATATATATAGATAAATAAAAATATATATCCATGCCTATAGAGAAATATATATATATCTCTTTCAGAGAAAGGTGATGATGATATGCGGGGGTGGGGGAAAGGATAACATGGATTTTAACAACTTTACTGAGTAGTGTATTAAGGTGTTACCAAATCCAAGTTGGAATACTGTCGAATTCTATGTTTATATACAGGAACTTGACAAGAGGAGTTGGTAGATTTAGAGAGTTACTAAGAGCTGTTGAAACAAGAACTACACAAAATCTGCGAATGGTAAGTTATATTAAACCACGTTCCTTTTGCAGCATCTGAATTTTAGTAGGCAGGTAAAGCATAAATATAATGGATGAATTAGAGACAAATACCAGATACACAGCATATTGATCAGGATCTGTTATCCACTGCTTTATAAGGTTACATTTCCTGGCTGAAGTGAAAAAGGCATGTTTGATACCCGGTCTCTCCTCTATTTCTCTTTCATGTTTGTGGTTATGGTTAAAACCTGATTGGTCTCTGACTGACCATATTTTCAACTTTAATCATAGTTGCTCTATTTATGATTTACCATAGTTTCACAAGGGTGTTGTTTCATGGTTTTGTAAGGTAATGAGAGTAAAGACAGTGTAGTGTCTTTATGTGTGTTCTATTAAGTTGGAAGTGATGGAGTTATCATTTTTTTATTTTTATGATAAAGCTTCTTAAAGGAAAACCATAAAAGCTAAATCAGGAATGTTTGTTATTTATATTGTCAGAAAATAAACCTTTACCAAAAGAGTGATGTATCTTTTTTGCATCTTTTTATAGTTAAAGGCCAAGCATTACATTTTTGCTCTAATGTAATGATTGCCGACATGTCCTAGATTAGTTTTCTAATACTAGGCTTTTAAAACTTCTACAGTGGTAATAAGTAGTTGGTTTCTTAATTAATTTAATAACTGTTTCCTAGTAAGGTTATAAAATTATTAAATAATAGACTTTCAATGGAGAGGGATAGTATTGCAAACTTTAATAGAACAAAAGATGAAGAACTTCTTATGGTACAGGAATTAAGGTGGAAGATGCAGATTGATCATATTATATTCTCTGTAGCTTAAACATTACACTTCTGTTGCTGGGAAATGTTGCTGGGAAATACTGCCAATTCTGTGGAAATATAGATCTTGCCTTCTTTCTACTGTGCTGGTACTAATCTCTTGAGTTTTCATCATCATGATATATAGTCATGCAGCTTGTATGCATATTTATTAAACGTTAAAGAGACGATTAACCTGATAGTCATAGATTGTAGGATGATTTAAAAGCTTTAAATCAATATTATTTACATAATATTTATTTAAGTATTTCTACACCTAAATACATTGTGCCACGAATAGTTGGTCAAAATAAACTTTTTCAGACAGATCAACAGCTACTTCAAAAGTATCTGGATTTAACTGATAAAATTGAAAAATTGTTTTTATTGCCATTTATTTTCGTTCTGTTTGGAGGATTGTACTGGGTACTTTCAAACAGCAGTATGCCTGTTTTTTGGGGTGTTTTAAAGTAACAGAAAATATATTCTATCTGACTAGTTTTCATTAGAAGTAATCCAAACATTTTTTAAGAGTCAGTGTTCAGCATTTCTAAGGAAAATATTTATCTTTTACTTTTACAGACTATAGCAAGACAACTGGCTGAAATTTTGTTACGAGGCATGTGTGAACAGAGTTACTGGAATCCACTGGAAGATCCTCCTCACCAATCACCCCTAGATGATCCACTTCGAAAAGGTTCAAATACTAAGAATTATGCACTCAGCAGAAGACCGCGGGTATACACTGGAGAAAAGTATGGCTGAGTTTATACCTCTCTTGTTTCTGTATTTGCAATTGTTACCAACTGCACTGGGTAATTTAGTTTATATTTTTTAAAATGTAGAAGGAATTGCACAATGTGAATGTTTCCCATGCCGTGTGTATATATATATTCCCTGAAGAGAACTAGGGAAGCAACATGCTTCTCCAAGCAGCAGTGTACACAAGACCAAGACCTTTTGTTCTCAGTCCCCAAAATGTTATTTTTATTCTGTACTGGGGTATATGGCAAAGTCAATAGCTCTCAGTTATATCTGGGATACAAAAGAAAGCATGAACTGGGTGGCAAATCTGAAATTGCACATTTTAAAAGTTGCATGCTGTTTCTAGACCTCTATTCTGCTCTGTCATAAAAAGGAAAGAATTAGCAATATGGAGATTCAAATTCATCCCATTATGAAAACCCAAAAGATATCTAGCAATTTGACTCATAGTTTTAATGTTAGTCTATTTCCCAAAGCAGCTACCTCTTAGTCTTCTTAGGTTAGTTTTGGCATTTCTTTATGATGCCACCATTTTGCTGAGTTTTATTCTTTCACTGATTGAAATAAGTAGTATGGAATGGATCATTTTTGTGTTCCATATCCTATGGTTAATTCTAGAGTGGCTTTGGTGTGTATCTCTTCCTTCTTGAAAATGTCCGGGGTTTTTTAAACCACATTAGCCATTAGTATTATTATTAAAGGTAGATAGCCCTTTTCTTGAATTTGAACTTTTTCTGAAGTTTTAATAGCTTGTTGTTTGTTTTTATCTGATCAAACGTAAAATGGTTTCTAAGGTTAAAGTTGTTTTCCTTGGACATGCTCTGACAGTGCTAAAATATATATCAAAAAAATTTTGTGATTTATTACAAGGCCTTGGGTGTAGCTTGCTATCTGAAGGTTACATGTTAGTGTCAAAGCATGCTGGTAAAATCTTAACCATTTGGCATTGTCTTTTTTAATTTATTTTTTGCCATTGATACTACATTTGATCTGATGGAATTTTATTGCACTTTTGTTTTACTCAGTCTGCAACTTTTCCACTGCTCTGCTTGTATTCTACACGCAAGTCCTTGTGGGACTGTGTATTTTGTATATATTTAATATAGTCAACAGCCATTGCTTACTTGTTTTGATACGTGTTGGAAAGCACTATGAGCCAGAGAGCTGAGCAGTGGGGATAATGATCTAGCCAGGATTATGATTTGCTGTAGTAGGACAGTGCTAAGTTATACAGATGGAGAAGATAGAATTTCTATTTAAGCTTCAGAAAAAAAAAAAACAAACCAGAAGAGGTTGTGGAGCTGGAGAATATCAGTGGAGATACTCAAAATCCAACTAGACATGGTTCTGGGCAACCTGCTAGTTGACCCTGCTTTGAGTGAAGAGGCTATACTAGACAATCACCAGGCACACAACCCCCAGCCTCAACTGTCCAGTGATTCTCTGAAATTGGTGTGATCTGAGAATCTCAAGGAGCTTGTTTTCCGTTCCATATGAAAATTTGACCTTTTTTGTCCAAAGGATTTATTAATTTGTTTTTATATTGTGTTCTAGCAGGATTAAAATCCAAGCATTGTCTTTTAATTTCAGTTTTGTCTTACTATGTCTAGGATGTGAAGTCATTAGAAAGCGGTCTTTTGAGCTTTAAGAAAAGATGCACACAGAGTTGAACATTCAGTTTGCCAAAACAACTCTGCAAGCACATAATTAACAAACTGTACAGCCTTTTTGCTACAAAGGAAATACTTGGTTTGTGGATGCACCTTGATCACTGCACTTAAAAAGTATGCATCTGTTGCCCAAATACAAGGAAGCTTTTTTAATGCAGCGTCACACATTTTCTCATTGAAACTACTTCATTTGACACAGCAAATTTTAAAGAGTCTGTTCCCCTCTTATACATGCCTTATTAGTCAGTATGAAAGCTTTTTTCCATAATGTGACCTTGTTGTTGTGTGCAAAAGAGTCTGCTTCTCTGTCAGATTGCTTATAGAAGTGGTCCTACCTTAAATTCTGCAGACATGTTTTGGTTTAGTGATAACAGTGTATTTATATTGTAACATGAAGTACTGTCCTACTTGCAGGCATTTGAGTTGTTTAGCTGCATGTATTGCAGATTTCCATAATGAATACTTCATATAGCAGCAAGCCCGTATGATTATGGTGTCACTTTTTATGAGGAAGCAGAATAGCCTTTATCTTCAAAGATTTCTTGCAGTTCTCCTTCTTGATCTAGAATACTTATAGCAGGTTTCTCAGGCTCAGTCTTTCAACCTTATGGTCTTCATTCTCAACTCAGCCTTTTGTAGAACCATGCCTCCTGGCAAAAGTCAGACTTTGTTCTGTGTAATTTTCTTGTCCTTGGGACATGTAATTGAAGAGTTCCATCATTTCAACAGATGCTAAATTCTGCGTTGAAGACTGGATAGGTAAATGGGGAGCTCTGTGATGCTTCCTCTTCACTCCTCATACCCTGTCCTGGGTGGTTCTTATTCAGCAGTAACTGTGGTTTGAAATTTCTTTGTTATGTAAAAATAAAACAGTCTTCTGAGATTTAGAATACTTTTCAAAATCTGATAGGCAATTTGCATTGAATAAAAATCCAATAACAAAATAACCGCCTGGGTGTCTGAGCTGCTGTTTTAGTTTTCATTTCCTTTCAGGCATTTAATTACTGCTTAAATTTCTAATGCATTTAAAAAAACCCTAAAAGATGTTTTGATCTCAGACAAGTTTTGTTTCCTGTTTGTAATATATTGTAGTTTAAGCACCCTTTGGACTATAGGTGTTGCTTATTAACAACAAGAAATTATTTCCGATATTTAAACAGGTAATTGTGGAAATTAGAGAAAGAAATCTGAGAAGTTAAAACAGTAACTATTGTTTTGTGTGTGAGAGAGAAAGAGAATGAATGAATGATTTCCTAGCAGTCATGTATCCAATGCAGATTACTGATGTCTTTCCAGCAGCATAGAAAAGCATTCAGAAAGCATCTAGTGTTCAGAAAAAGCAGAAAAGGTTGCAAACTAGTCCTATGCAAACATTTAGTATTGTCATAAAAAATTGTACTTAATTAAAAACAAATGTTTTAACTGCTTGGAAGTAACAGTGATTATGGCAAGCAGGCAGAGATTGCCTTGGCTCTTTTTTTTACATACTCACATCTATCGAATGCGTAAGAAAACCAATTCTCGAGCACATCTGATGAAAGACTAATAGAAGTATTTCTCCATGTATTGCCTAAAATACAAAATTTATCTTGTTCTTGTGAGAGAGTTTCTTGTTGCTGACCTTTAAATCAGTGATGTAGATTCAGCTTACACAGATTAGGTGCCAGAGGCTAGTTAAACTATGGGTACAGTTTTTACAGTTATCAAGTCATGTGCAATTTGGAGGTATTTGAATGTGTTCACCTCTTACAGCTGTGGTGGTTTCATTCTCTTGTTGTGTTTGGCCAGCTTTTCTGAAATCCGAATTTAAAGTATTGCAAAGAAATGTGTTTTAACCAATAATTTATTCTATGCAAGTTACTTTCTGTTCTCTATTCTGGAAATTTTCCAGTTTTTACAGTACTTTTACTGTATTTTTGTAAGCTACTCCTAAAAGTAATGTGTTCTGCTTAAATAATTACATTCTCGTTTTGAACAGCATCTTTTGTCCTCAAGAAAATACAGAAGAAGCCTTACTGTTGCTGCTTATTAGTGAATCTATGGTAGGTAAAATAAAGTGAACGTGCGTGTGCTGTATGTGTATATGTTTTCTTTGGGTATTTATTACATTGAAAATATAACTTTTTTTGTCGTGCCTTACTTTATGACTTGTGTTTCATTTTCTGTTAGGAAAGCAGGCAGTTACTTCTGAAACTCAAGCTTCTTTTCCTCTGAGCCAGCAAGTTGAGGTCTGCAAGTGTTATGAATGATTTTTCTCAATTAGAGTGGCTGAGTGTAGCTTCCTTCTAACCATGGGCAGGTGAACATAAAGCCAGGCCATTCATTTGGCATTACTTATCAATATGAACCACTGTTATAGCAGCTAGTTGCCATTCATACAGACTCAAAACATAAGTTATTTTTGTTCTGAAAAACGAATCAAGGTCTACTAGATGAGCGTAATAAGCATAGCCAAAAACTATTATCCATTGTGCATTCAATCTCAGATATCAGTCAAATTTGTAAATTATTTTTAATGGAAGTGGCATTAGCTTTTGATACTGGTGCTAATGGATTTGTTTATTTTTTTATGTCCCCATTTCTGCAATAGGTGATTCCTTTCAATGGTCTACTTGTGCCTTTTATCAGCCTTTTGTATTTTCCTCTAGTGTAATTTTACTACCCATCTATCAACTGCCATGTACTGACATGCTTATATGAGGCCAGTTACATGTTCTCAGATGGCAGAAATGAAAAGGTGAAGCTGTAATTTCTGCTGGTTTTCTAACTGGAGGAGTGGAGAACCTGAGACATCATGTAACAATCTGTCTCACTGCGCAACAGTGATACTTGGTCTTTTAAGTTCTGTAGGTAATTCAATTGCTTTCATGCTCTGACGTAATTTCTGTTTTGATATAGTTAAATGGGAACACAGCATTTTACTGAATATTGTCCTATTTGAACTATTTTGAAGTGGCAAACATTCACATTGTAGTGCAAACTATTTTCCACATTCCTAGTGATGTGCATTGCAGTGTTCATGACAGAATCCGTCACCAAAAAACTAGACTGAACAACTATTTCCATATACCATGTGTTGGTTTTGCTGCAGTATACCACTGAAATTACCACTAAAAGGAGCTGCCCGTGCCTCCTTAAGGGGCCTGAGCTGCTTGTGGAGATATGCAGAATTCTGATGTGAACTGTGGTCATGGTGTGAAGTGGAAGGAGTCATAGTCAGGATCTGGCTATGGATTACTGTATTTGTATGTGTACTTCCTTGCATTAAGATGAGAAAAACCAAAAGTACTGCCCCTCCTTTCAAGTGACTTACAGCTTTTCCTTTGTGAATTAGATCTGCCTTGATTATATCAAACGCTTGACACTGTACAGCATATACTCTTATCAAGCTTTCAGTATTTTAATTTTTTTTTAGAATAATTATTGCAGGTTGTCTGAGGCAAAAGAGTTTTTTTCGGGGGGTATAAAGTCTTTCACATAATTGGCTTACTTTGGCTAAATAATTTGTTCAAATTGGTTTGGGGGGGGGAAGGGGAAGATTTAGCATAAAAAATTCATCACTACAGACTTACCTTTCTGAGAGTTGAGAGCTGTTACTTCAGCCTCAGTGCATGCTAGCTTTCTTTTTTTCTTTTCTGTAGTAGTTAAGAATTAATATGTGATTTATGATTTTGAAACCAATGTTTGGGAAAGAAAGAACAACAGTTGCAGAAGATTGAGTAAGCATTGGTATTTTGAGATGGTATGGTGCTATTAAAGTAGTATGATCCTTTCCTTGCATTGTCCATGAATTAATAAAAACACAGATAAAGTCTCAAGACTTCTGTCTTTCAAGAACTTACTCAAGTAAATACCTTAAAACAGGATGAGGATCTGACATATAATCTGACATTTCAAGGCCAGGCTGGACAGAGCCTTGGGTGACATAGTTTAGTGTGTGGTGTCCCTGCTCATGGCAGGAGGGTTGGAACTAGATGATCTTAAGGTCCTTTCCAACCGTAAGTGTTCTATGATTCTATGAAGTAGCATTTTGTGTAAGCAAATCACTACATATATACGAGCCCTAAATCATACTGCTAGTTTCAGGGAAGTGGTGTACTCTTCCATCATTACTTCTTAATTGAATTAGATCTAATGTACCATATATCCAAAAAAAAAAAAAAGAGTCTTACTAGTGGATTACAAATGCTACGTTTGTGTCACCTTGAGTTCTCTTAATTTCCAAATTCAGTAAGAATGCTTCGAGTAAGATTTAAATTGTAATATTTATGAAAGAAATGCTATGGGAAAGATAGTTCTGTGCTTTTTAAGCGTTCTAATTCTCTTGTAGATACATTTCAGAGTACAAAATGTCTCTTTTAGCCACATGCTACAGTGTATTGTCATGCCTAATGAGGAAAGTCAGCTGCAACTCTTCCATCACTCTTACTGTAACACATTGTTACATTCTAGCTATTACACTTGTGAAGTATAGACCAGCCTTTCCTTATCTAGGCAGAAATGAGTAGACAGGACTGACATCTTCACACTATGGTGCATGTACATGTTGCTGCATGTCAGCTGAGCTGTAGCATTAGAATCACAGAATGATTGAGGTTGGAAGGGACTTTTAGAGGTTCTTTTGTCCATCCCCCCAGCCCTGCTAAAGCAGAGCCACCTGGAGTAGGCTGTGCCTGTGTCCAGACACATTTTGAATATCTCGAAGTGGGGAGACTCCACAACTTCCCAGCACAACCTGTGCCAGTGCTCCGTCACCCTCCAGTAGATGACAGTATTTCCTGGTGTTCAGAGGAAACACAGGGAACTGTGTTTCAGTTTGTGTTCACTGCCACTGATCCTGTCACTGGGTACTACTGAAAAGAGACTGGCTCTATCTTATTTGTACCCTCCCTTCAGGCATTTATACACATTGATAAGGTTCTCCCCACTGAGTATGCCCTTCTCCAGGCTGAAGAGTCCCAGCTCTCTCAGTCTTTTTTCATAGAAGAGATACCTTAGTTCCTTGTTCAACCTAGTGGTCGTTTGTTGGACTGTCTCCAGTAGCTCCATATTTCTCTAGTACTGGGGAAGCCAGAATTGGACCCAGTACTGCAGGTGTGGCCTCACCAGTGCTCAACAGAGGGGAATGCTCATGCTCATGCAGCCCAGGATACCACTAGCCTTCTTTCCACCAAGGGCACATTGCTGCCTTCTGTTCAGCTTGGTGTCCACTAGGACCTCCTCTGTGTTCTGGTGTCCTCCATGTCCTTTTCTGCAAAGCTGTTTTTCAGCTGTGTGGCCCCCAGCATGTACTGAATGGTGCCAGGTGTTGGTTGTTCCCAGGTGCAGGACTTGAGGTTCCCGTCAGCTCATTCCTCCAGGCCGTTGAGGTCCCTCTGGATGGCAGCACAGTCCTTCGGCATACCAGTTCCTCCTTCAGGTTCTGTATCATCAGCAAACTTGCTGAGGGTACACTCTGCCCATCATCCAATCATTAATGAAGATTTTGAACAGGATCAGGCCCAATATTGATCTCTGGGGTACACTGCTAGTCACTGGCCTCCAACTAGACTTCGTTTCACTGATCACCACCTCCTGGGCTCAGCCTTATGTGTTATTTGTAGCCAATGGTAAAATGGCTCAGCATATTCTTTCTTCCACTGTGAGTGAACTAAGTTATACTACTCGCATTTGTCTCAGGCTTAATGTGTGTAATAGAGAAGTGTGGCCAGTTGACACACTGCAGTTTAACTGATTGCCACTTTATTGTGTCTGAGACCATGGCAATTCTGAAACACTGGGCACTGCGCTTTGTACATGCATTCTGTTTTATAATGCAGAAGATGATTGTCCAAATATATAAGATATCTTCAGTATTTACAAGGCAACCTCTCCTATAATACTGTTTTGGCGTTGTCAGCCATTTTTTCATAAGAAGTGCTAGGTCATAGCTTGTTCTATACTTGCAAAGAATTGAGTCAAACAGTGATTAAATGTGGAGTTAAAAAGAAAGAAAATCTTGAAACTGGCTAAATATTTATGCAGTGTAGAAAGGAAAAACCAAAGACTTCATGATCAGAAGAAAGCAAAATGTCTTTGTTGGCATGTGTGTGCCGGGGTGTGTGTTTTCAAACCAAGCTGTGGTTTATTCACTTGATAATTCCTGAAATGTCTGCGCATTTTACGCTCCATGTATCTCTCTGAAAATTTCTTTTAGTATTTGATTATTCTGATTTTAAAGATGTATTGAGTATGCTCAGAGCTTAAATTGTTATCCTGTTAAAGCAAAGAAACAATTTAGTATCCATTAATGTGTGTCATGCCTTGCCTCTGAAAAAGGAGGAAACAGGCTGTCCATTAAAATTTACTGTATTTAAGTAAATGTATTAAGGGGCCATGCCCTGTGTAATTAAATATAAAAGGGTGGGGAGATGAGGAAGAGAGAGAAGGATCTTTAACTTCTGCCTTCAAACTACCGGATATACTAGTATTTGTACTAGTGGAAATATTAAACGCCAAGAAATCTAGAAATAGATATCAAGATAAGATATTTTCAGAGGCTTGATGGTATAATGGGAGAAGTCCTGGGTAGCTCAATATAGGTGGTCTTAGTTACTGGGAGACCTGAATTTTATCCTTTGTTCTTCAACAAGATTTGTCTGTGAACGTGATCAATTCATTTAATCCAGTTCTAGTTCAGTTTTCTTCCTTCTCAAAAGGAAAAGTTTAATTAAAGAAGTAGGTTGGCAGTGTGCTTGTCACAGAACAGGATTGAGAGTACAAAGCTTTATTGCAAACATGTCCTGATTCCAAACCAGTGCTCAGAACCAGGGACAGTTTTTGCTTCTCACTTGTAACTCCTGAAGGTGATTGTGTGGTTTTCCCAGCAGGTTACCAATCACAAGTGAGAGAATAGTGTCAAAATGTTACAAAGAGAGAAGAAATCGATTGCCATATTTTACAAAAGCTGGAATAGAGGATTTTAAGATCCTTCTAATATGTTTTACTAGCATACAAAAATAAAATTAATTATTTAAAGATAAATATATGTTGTGTTAAAAAAAACTTACTTGGTTTCTGAGAACTCTTAAGTAATTTTAAATACATTACCTAATTTATGTAATTAGAATTGAGTAATTAAAAATAGATCCATACAGAAACATCAATCTATAAATTAGTAGCAGATACTGTCTCTCTTCATCTTCTATATCAACTCTTGTCAGTCTGAATAGCATGGTTATTCCTTGAATGAAAATACAGATTAGATTACAATGGCTGACTGTTTCTTTCTCTGTGGTATGTTTCAGGCCAATCGTGATGCTGTACTGAGCCGAATACCAGAACACAAAAACGATCGTATCATCAGTTTGCAAAGTGCATCTGTAGTCTATGATTTACTTACTATAGCCTTGGGAAGAAGAGGCCAATATGAAATGCTGTCAGAGGTTTGTTGATAACAGTGGATATTCAGTTGTGTCTTAATTGCTTATTTCTTTTAATTATGCAAATTTGTGGTAGTACTCAAGGGCTAAACAAATACAGGACACTCTCATTCTGACTAAGGCATAAATACAGTAGATAGTTTCCACCCCAAAGAGTTTACTGTCTATATTTTTGCGTGACAAGTGGCTTGAGGTGGTCAAGCACAGAAATTTTGTGAAAGGTGTGGTAAATGTTTAATGGCACAGAAGTTCACATGGGTTTTGAGGGGAGGAATGGATCTGCTTAGAAGGGTATACATTAAATGGAGACAGGAGGAAGGAACAGCAAAAGATAAAAGCTGTTGATGATATAAATGATAGATTTAATATCTAGAGAAAGGATCTGTGAAGTTTTATTTCAAAAGAAAACTTTCTCTTAGACCTCATAATATTTGGAGTGCTCCAAAGTCCTTATAGCTTGGAAAATGGCTTTGAAGTTATTAAAACAGAACTGTACTTTTTCAGGTCTGTAGGAAGGTGCATTCTCTATCTCAAATGTCTTGTGTTTGTTTATGCACCTTGCATGTGTTTTGTTAGATTGTGGTGTCTTTGTTGTTCAGGAAATTTTCAAGTATCCTTAACAGCTTTGTATTTAAGAAGCAGCTACAGCTCTCTGGGCAGAGCAGATATTTCTGCTGCTAAAAGCAGCGCTCACACAGTAGCAGGATGTTTTTGTTGACCATGATTATTATTGGTATCCAGAAAGAATACTTCAGCATGTGTGGTAGGAAAGCATATCCATGGATTGATTTGCTGAAAACGGCTTCTCCCTGCAATAATAGAGAACTATTAGGGGGAAAAAAATTTTCCCAAAAAAACCCCACAACCCACAAAAAACAAACAAAAAAAACCCCACACCAGTTCTTCTCTGGTTTATCTAGGTAGTCAGCCTTTAATCTGCATCTCCTGTGATGTTAAACTCTGAATTTGGGTTTCCTTCTTCTTGAAAGTACTTCATAACTGCAAGTTGTGTGTACAAGTAATTTTTAATCAGTACAATAGAAAGACTTTCACAAAAACTAAGGGGTATGAAAGCTCATACAGAACTCTAACGCTAATCTAATCAGGAATCTAAATAAATCTAATCAGGAATAATCCTGTTTACTTGCCACTACAGACTTCATCAGCTTCATGGGAATTTAGGCAGTTACACCAAAGCTGTAAGAGATTACTCTCCATGTGGAATCATGGAGTCATAGAATCACATGTTTTAGTCTAGAACTTTTAAAGGATAGACAGTGATCGACAGTTATCTGCTCCCAAATCCTGCCAGTAGCCTGAAACTTCTGTAATTTAGACTGTTACACTAAACACAGTTCAAAAATATGAAAACATTCTGTTCAGTTATGTAATAGGCATATTTTTTTTTGCTGTCTTCATTCTTTGTGAGCTAATTGGGATTGCTCTAGTGGAGCTGTTGCAGCTTCAAGTCAGAAAGCACCATTATTCTAACTCTGCACATGGTATTCACCCACCAGCTCCAGTATCTTGTAGCTATAGCTGGTTACTTACAGAAGTAGTTAGTTGTGATATAAAAATATTAAAAGATGAAAAATCTGTCTCATCCTTATTAAACTGTTCTAATGCTGAGTCATGTTCTTAATTGAAAAGGTCTCATTTCTGTGTGGAGTTTGGGCTTCCAGCTTCTGATGGCTTTCTCAACTAGATCGAAGAACTTTCTACTGTCCTATTTTCTTCCTAAACAAGTCAAGTTGGTTTTTAAGATTAGTAGGATATGACATATTGAGCTTATCAGTGTCCTGCTAGCAAAGATGTTTTCCAGACCAGAAATTTTCCTACATATTAATCTGTCAACTCTCTAACTTCAAGCATATTGTTTTCATGAGGATACCTTAGTCCTAAGCAACAAAATTCAGTGATACATTCAACATTACATGTTCATGTAGTGATTTGTGATTGTTCAATATCAAGAGTAGCATTTCTGCCTTTCAGGAGAGGGATTGTGTTGAATGTGTTTTCAGTTAGTTAAGACAGTTACCATTATCCTGAACATTATCTTAACTTGCAGTTTTCCAGAGTACTGTTGCTTGTTATGTATCATAGAATCATAGAATAGTTAGGGTTGGAAAGGACCTTAAGATCATCTAGTTCCAACCCCCCTGCTGTGAGCAGGGACACCACACACTAAACCATGTCGCCCAAGGCTCTGTCCAGCCTGGTCTTGAACACCTCCAGGGTTGGAGCATTCACAACTTCCTTGGGCAACCTATTCCAGTGCCTCATCACCCTCACTGTGAAGAACTTCCTTCTTATATCTAACCTGAACTTCCCTTGTTTAAGCTTAAACCCATTACCCCTTGTCCTACCACTAGAGTCCCTAACAAGGAGTCCCTCCCCAGTATCCTGTAGGCCCCCCTCAGATACTGGAAGGCTGCTATGAGGTCTCCACGCAGCCTTCTCTTTTCCAGGCTGAACAGCCCCAACTTTCTCAGCCTATCTTCATACAGGAGGTGCTCCAGTCCTCTTATCATCCTCGTGGCCCTCCTCTGGACTTGCTCCAACAGCTCCATGTCCTTTTTATGTTGAGGACACCAGAACTGTACACAATACTCCAAGTGAGGTCTCAGGAGAGCAGAGTAGAGGGGCAGGATCACCTCCTTTGACCTGCTGGTCATGCTTCTTTTGATACAGCCCAGGATACGGTTGGCTTTCTGGGCTGCAAGTGCACACTGCTTGCTCATGTCGAGTTTCTCATCAATCACCACCCCCAAGTTCCTTCTCTGCAGGGCAAATCTCTTGTTGATTTCTTGTTGGAGCATGTTGCTTCTTGAAATTACTTGTTACTTGGTTCAGAAGAACCCGGGTTATGAGGTGTGCATGTTGTTGTGTAGGTCACATGCACATATATGCACAGATAATCCCTTGCCCCCACACATGCTAGTCACCAATTTTTTGATCTTATGGAGAAAAAATTATGTAACTTGTCATATTTCATGCTGAAAGGACAGGGTGCTGGGCCATCTAGTCTAGGTCATGCTTTGCCAAGAAAGATTGGAGCAGATGATCCCTAAGGTCCCTTCCAGCCTGGTGTTCTCTGATGCTAGGAATGAAGCCAAGTGAATAAAACTTGAAGTCATGGAAAATGAACGGTAAATTGATTGTTAGTATATTGAAACTCAAGCCTTTTAAAATAATCTACAGTTGTGTCCTGTCTCTCTACAAAGTTTTTAAATCCTAAAGTATTAACTTCTCTAATTTCTTTATTTTCTGCCACTTAGAATTGGCAATTTTTAATTAAGCTTATAAAATGATTATTTTTCTCATTGTGAACAAGTACCTCTCTAATGCTCATGCATATGTTTATGAATATCTAAAAATGGGAGAAGAGAGTATGATTAGGCAGCCTAAAAAGTTATAAACATGTTTTGACTTTGAGTATCAGGTTTCCATGTACCACTTGTTTGTGTGAATCTCTGAGATTATATGGTTGCCGTAGGTCAGAGTTTTGGAGATGCTGAAGGTATTTGATGGTACATTCAATTTACCTTCAGTAAGCTGATATTTATTATTCCTTCTTTCTGAATAGGACAGTAGCAGCAGGAGTATTTAAACAAACATAATAAGTTAGGAATCAGTTTTCTTTTCAATTCTTTTTTTTCCATATAGAATCTAGCAGCTTTTTTCAGATAACTTATTTGAATTATTTAAATTTGGATTTACATGTATTTTAGGTATGAGTATGTAAGAAATTTTTTATGTTAGTGTGTCGTTTTAGATATTGAAAAATATTCCCTTAAATAACAATTTTCCCCTCAAAATTAGTGTTTAGAAAGAGCCATGAAGTTTGCGTTTGAAGAGTTCCATCTGTGGTACCAATTTGCATTGTCCTTGATGGCAGCAGGAAAAGTAAGTCTTAATTTTTGGATGTAATTCTTCTGTTGATGGCTTTTGATAACAACATTTGGCACTTCCATAATTTCATCTGGAGGGTTTTTTTGAAAATAATCATAATCCTTAAATGAGCTAAGTACACTGTACTCCTGAATTTATGCCTACTGCTGTACAAAGAATGTTGTTATTTCAATAGTTTCTAACTTAAGAAGACTGAAAGGCAATGGTAAGAACTGTCTTTACAACAAGCTTAAGCCTAACTAATTGAATTTCAATAGTGAATTATACCAGTTGGTATTATCCACTAACAACTTGTTTAAGTGATGTTTTGATGAACAAATTTTATGCTTAGGTACAAATTATTTGTGATTCCTTGTAGTCTTGCTTTTTTATTTCTTTTCTGACTGTTCTTTTTTATTAATTTGTATTTTATATAATCTAGGAACATACGTTATCAGATGCAAACTTGTATTTTCAGTTCTTTTTGCTTTTCCCTGACACATTATGGAAAATAAATCACTTTCATAGTGTAATGTAAATAATACTAATTTTCTAAAAAATCATTCTTGAGGTAATTTGCTTATCTTCAGTATGGTGAAAAACAATAATTTGTATTTTATTCAGAAAATATTTTTAGAATCACACTGGTTTTGAAGAGACTTGATTCTTCTTCCCATTCTCTGTTTGGTTTCTAAACCATGACTGGATGGAAGAAAATGAATTTAAAAAAGAGGAGCAGTGCCAGTCTGTTATACAGTCTTATATCGGAGTTATTGCTAAGACTGTGTCCTGCTCCTGCTCTTTCATTTCAGATGTTGTGAGCTTACAGGCCTGTCAGATTTTTTAAATGTGTCTCAAAACTGTTTTCTGAATCACGTACCACTGGAATGACATACTGGGCAGATGTTTCACTGGGGACACTTAATGAGACTTCATTGGGATTAAATAACAGCAGCAGTGACTGAAGTCTTGTGTTGCTCTTGCATGAGGAATTGTGAACAAACATCAATAAAATGGGAAAAATAAGTGATGGAAATAGGAATCTTCTGTTTGTGAAACATATTTATGCTTTTAGTAATTTCAGTGGAAAATGTTTTTAACAGTCTGCTCGAGCTGTTAAAGTCTTGAAGGAATGTATTCGTTTGAAACCAGATGATGCAACTATTCCACTCCTTGCTGCAAAGCTCTGTATGGGATCTCTGCACTGGGTAAGATTGGTCATTCTCTGTCTTTTCAGCAAGAACTGTGCTAAAAAAAAAATACAGCACAGGTACGTACATCCACATGTATATCCTTGTTTGAATGGCTCATTTAAAATATTTGAGAGCAATAGTTATGTTTATCAAGGTAGCATATCTTGATACTAATCTAAGACGTAGCAAAAAATGTACTAGAAATTGAAATGGCATACAGAGATTAAAAATGCAACTTAGACTTCTATTTTCTCTTCAAGAGAACAACAACTTTTTTTGAAAGATAATGAGACAAATCTCTTATATTCAGTAGACTTTTCTGGAGATACCATGCTTGTGGGCAGCTGGGATTCAGGAATTTTAGTACGGACAGTGTCTTTTTAAAATGTGTTACTTGAGTTGTATTTTAGATAACCTTGAAATTGGTGTATCTGTATAAAAAACATTAAGGTGATAGAAGATTATCATGTGGTTTTCAAGATACATGTATTTTTTAGAAGACTTAGTGTATTTTAAAAAGGAGGAAAAGAGGAGGGAAATGTCAGAATCGGAAATTGAGAAACAGTGCAATAGCAGAAACATGACTTGTTGAGGCTGAGAAAAATACAGTCTTAATAATTAATACAGATCCTTAGTCTGTAAATTGTTCCCTATGGATTGACTCCATATGGAGAAGCTTACTGTACTTAGCATTTACACTTACTGGAATGGATTCATATGTTTCAGGTTTGGGGTTTTTTTTCTTCCTACATTGTTAAATAGTGTGCTAACATGGTTGTGCAGTTAAACCTCGATGTTTTTACATGCTTGTCTATTTATGACTTTACATACATTCAGCAATACCGTATGTGATGCAGAATTCTGGGTGGCTATACGTTTTGTTTTTTTCAGGGTTGGACCCATAGTTTTTGTGAGTGGTTTTCCTACAGAAATAGTTTATGGGGCAAGAACTCTATTTGTGAAATACAAAAAATGCTAGATGGTATCCATAGACCAGAAACACCTTTTTATTAAAGAAAAAAAAAAGGTGGGGGGAAGGGGCAAAACCACAGTATGTTTAGAAAGATCTGTGTGTTATGTGCCACAATTTCTCTCAACCATAGGAATGGGTGCTTCAACTTAAAATCTGTGTTCTTTACTAAGTATCTAGCAGGAAAACTTAGTCTAATGAAAAACAAAGTAGTCCTTAAAAGCAGTCATGGCTCAGATTTCAACAGACTCAGTGTGCATGATACACATGCTGTGTGTTCTCAGTATAATGTAAGATTTAGCTAGTTTTAGACTTACATGGGTGTTTTATAATATTTTCAGTTGGAAGAAGCTGAAAGATTTGCCAAAGCAGTTGTCGATCTTGGGGACAAAACATCAGAGTTCAAAGCAAAAGGCTACTTGGCACTGGGATTGACTTACAGTCTGCAGGCTACTGATGGTAAGATAAGAACAAACATTCATGTTTGGAAATCCCCGTGTTGCCTAAAAAAGGATACCTAGCAGAATGCTAGACTCAAAATTGAAGCTTCTGTGTGCAACCACTTTCTCAGTCAATGTATTAAAACTTCTTCAATGAGCACGTGGAATGAAATCTCTTGATCTTGCTGATTAAGTATATCCTTTTTAGCATCTTTGCGAGGGATGCAAGAGGTCTTGCAGAGAAAGGCTCTTCTTGCATTTCAGAGGTGAGTGGGTGTTAATCTTTTCATTTCATTCTGCTACATGTAGTAAAAAGCTTATATGTTAAGAAGAGGGACTTGTAAAAGATTGTGTAATGAGGATTTCACCTCTAGGAGTACAGAATTCTTTAGTGTTTACCTCACATTTTCTGTCAGAAATATCTAAATTAATTTCTAAGGATTTCCATTTACTTAATTTTAAAGACATTTGTGTTGTTTTCTAGTATAAAATATTTGCTCAAAGTATTCTGTTCTGATCTAGAAGGGAAAAACATATGATGCAAGGTTTCAAGTCATGGTTCAATGTGATAGTGTTTCTGGAAGAGTTGATAGCTGATCAGATCGTAAAGCAGGCTTTTGCAATTATCTCTGTAGAGGCAGAGCAATAATTGAGGCCCTACCACTGTGCATGAGGGGCAAAGTGCAGGTAGTAAGGTAGTAAGTTAGGGGGAAAGAAATAATTCTGTCTGGAGATTTAACAGCATAGGCAGTGACAATGCAAATGCCCCATTTTCCAAGTGCCTTACACAGAAGTACTGCTGTTGGGTATGACAGTAGTCCATTGTCAAGGCTTCGGCTCTGCAAATGAAATAACAATAAACAGGTGAATGAGAATATCTCTACCCTAATTATAGAAGGAACCAATCTTGATGGCAAACGTGGCAGAAGTGCTGCAGCATCTGAGTATGTCTCTTTCTATGTTTATACACCCTTGAAAACCCTTCATTGAGATAGGTGCTTCCTAAGTGCTTCAGGGAAATGGATTTGTGCATTAGTGTGAATATTAAGTCTCAGATTTTTGTTGGTGATTTTGTATCTGAGCTGATAGTGTTGGAAAATACGTTTTGCAGGTAGCTTTAGAGTTTGTAGGTAGCTGGTATGTATTGGCCAGCCTTTTTCTGTCTTGTCTTAAGTATTCCTCTGAATGTAAATATGGTTTGCTCTTCCTATTCCTTAATGGTTTTAATAGTTTTTAATTACTTCAGCATTCTTTCTCCGTGTGGAAACTGAACTTTCTACCTCCTGGTTTATACCTCAGTTCCTCACCCATCCCTCTTATCACTGACTTAATCATCACTGTTTCAGAAATACTGTGCTAACCATTTCTTGTCATTTCTACCCATTCACTACTTCTGAGGTTTTAATAGTGAATTGCCTTCCTCTGCTAATTCTTTGAAACAGCAAGTGATGAAATGAACTGTAGTCTGAGCTGACACTACCCTCCATTTTAGTATAGTGATTCCCAAAATTCTCTTTCCCTGCTATTGATCTGTCTGGAAAATTTCCATTTTCTGAGGGTTGAGATTGTGCAGCATTTTGACCACCTGTAAATCCGAGGATGCTTTTATATAGATAGCATGCTGCTTATTGTGGTAATATTTTATTAGCTTTCTCTAGAAAAGGAGTAAGTTGTTGGAGTTAAAAGAGAATATATAATACATGGTTAAAAGAACTATTTTTAAATTATATTCAGCTTCTTACCACTGTGAAATTACTTTTTCACACTATTCAAATATCGTTGCTTGGTTTTGTGCTATGTTGTCTCTGATCAGGAACTTTTCTGTTTCATTCTCTACAGATAAACAGTAAGTCTCTTGATATGTTCTTAACTGTTCAGTTTTTGAGACTTCCCAGCAGCGAACAGTGCCAGGTGGAATCTGAAAACAGAATCATAGAGTAGTTTGGGCTGGAAGGGACCTTCAAAGGTCATCTAGTCCAACCCCCCTTCTAATGAACAGGGACATCTTCAACTAGATCATAACCACATCCAGCCAGGCCCTGAATGTCTCCAGGGATGGCGTGTGTTAGAATCATAGAATGGTTTGGCCTGAAGATATCTGGTTCCAACCCCCCTGCCATGAGCAGGAACACCTCACACTAGACCATGTCACCCAAGGTTCTGTCCAACCTGGCCTTGAACACTGCCAGGGATGGAGCATTCACAACTTCCTTGGGCAACCCACTCCAGTGCCTCAGCACCCTCACAGTAAAGAACTTCTTCCTCATATCTAATCTAAACTTCCCCTGTTTAAGTTTGAAGCCATTGCCCCTTGTCCTACCACTACAGTCCCTAATGAAGAGTCCCCCCACAGCATCCTTACAGGCCACCTTGAGATACCAGATCTTCCATCTCTCTGGGCAACCTGTGCCAGTATTTTAGCACCTTCACTGTAAAGAAGTTCTTCCTATTATCCCTTGCCCTATTGCAACAGGCCCTGCTAAAAAGTCTGTCCCCATCTTTTTTATAGGCTCTTTTTAAGTACTAAAAGGCTGCAATAACATCTCCCTGGAGGCTTCTCTAGGCTGCACATACTTAGCATCTTTTCAGTGAACAACGACAGATATCCTTTAGCTACATAGATTGAGTGGAACTTCAATTTTATAGTGATACGGAGCTTTGAAATGTTTGTGCTAACTAGCAGAATATACATTTATACACAGAAAGTCTTGGGAACATGAGGATTAATTGCATCTGGTTTTTATGCATCTTTCTGATGCTTTGGAGTTTTCTTTGTCCTTTTCCTCTTGCCCTCTCCCCCTCCTGCCCAGTTGATACAACCTCATAGAAACAATATTTTGTGTTTTCAAGTGCGTGTTCCAGGGTATTGATGTTAGTTTATATGTTCATCTTCTCTATCAGCCCTTCTCAGAATTAACTTGTGCATAGGCTTTCAATTAAAATAAAATAATCTTTTGGAGATGTTAGTAATGTGAAGGGTGTATGTCACTCTAGTGAATTGCTAATACTGCTGTTAGTGATATTGCTGATATGGGAAGCTCAGACTCCACACGGATTCTACTCCACTTGAATAGAATGGTTTGGCCCTCAAAAAGACCAGAGTCTCTGCATGTCAAAAATCACATAGCAAGCAAGCAGAGAAGGGAAAAAATGAGTTTTAAAAGGTGATTGTTCTGTATATTAACATTTTTTTTCACTGCTTGTGTTCATAGCTGTACTGGAAATACACTTCAATGTGTATCATTGTATTGATAACACAAGGAACCAGCAATATTATCAACCAATAGATGGTACCAAAATCTTGTTACCACAGAGAGTATGTTATGCTCAGCATACCAGAGTCATGCTTACTTTCTCTTCCCACATCTTTAAAATAAATGTGGACGTTGAAATTCTCCATTCATCCCTTACACAGTTTATAAAGCGAGCAGCTGTACTGGACTTAGTATTTTGATGTGCCGATGATTTTATTTTGTTTTGTTTCTTTTGGGGGGTAGGGTGTTTTTTAATCACTTAGCTAGAGAACCAATTCTTAAAAAAATAGAGATTCTGGAGAAATACAGTTATGTTTTGGATCATTACCCTTACCTATGCCAGATTTCAAGGCTACCAGTTTGTTATAGGGGCTATTTGAGAAGGTGCTTGTTGCCATCTTCTCACAGTGCTTAACAGCTTTTTTCTTTCACTGTCTGAAGCTTGGGAGACTGACAAGTACTCTCTAAGTTAAAATTTCTTGTTCTCACCTAATCTTGCTTAATGTCTGAACTTTAATTTCAGAAAAGACTGGTCCTGGACCATGTTAGGCTTTATATTTGACTCTGATCTCCAGTTTAGAGGAAGAGTTAACAAAATATGAAACTGTTTCCTAGTTACTTAAACTACTTTAATATCTTATGGGTGTTGTTGCTAATCTGATGGTGCTGTCTCTTTGTTCTTGGGAAGACAGAAATGCACAGGTTGGAAGCAGAGCCTTTGTAGTTATTATGGCTTAAAAGTCAATTTTGTTCCTCCCTCCCAGTGTAGACGACTCATTAGATGTTCTGAAGATGTTTCTAAATGAGCCTCCAGTAAAAGAATGCAGCAAATATAAACTAAAAACATAGTTCAAGGCTTGCTGCCCAGTATTTACAACACATCATATCAGGGATTTTGGGGTACAGCTGTAATTTTTTTGTCTTTATCTTCAAGCACATTCCCCCACGCCCACCAAACTCTTATCTTGCAACAGAGAGATTGTGTAACAGAGGAACAGGTGTATTACAATTACATCTTCTGTAGGATGAGTGTAAATATTACTTAGACAAAGTGTGTGCATTTGACAAAAACATTAAAGCCAAACAAACAAAAAAGGTGGAAAGAATTTATTTCTTTGTTTTATTAATTGGGGTTGCTTGCAGCAGTAGTAGTTACAAATATTTTGAGAGTGAATAATCACAAAATACTGCTGCTGTTGGGCAAAAGTTATAAAAAGGTCATCAGCATAAACTTCTTCAAACATAGGTTCATCATGAATCAGATCTCATGCTGTCTTTTACTATGCTATGATGCAGAAGCGATCCAACTAGATTTCTTTTACATTGCTACATTGCAACATGCTCTGCTAACTTATTCTCAAAGCAGCACAAAGTCAAGAAGTAACTGGCTTCCTAGGAAGCTTAGTGTGCTAGACTGAAAATGAATGAGCAGAACTCTGATCTACTTTGCTGCAACTCTTCCTCTTGAGTTCTATGCTTCAGAACCATCCTGGTCAGGGTCCTTGCAATTGCTTGGGTACTTCTTGTATTTGCTCATTCTTTATATTACTCGTTTTTAAGCTTTATACTGAAATTACATTATTTCTGTTAAAAATTACTCTTTAATGGCCCAAAGTGCTTCTTTTAAATCAAGGATGATTGAGAAGAGTGATAAAAGTCACTGGAATGGACACCACTTATATCAAAGTATGAGTATACATGTAATGAAGATACCTCAATATGGATACATAAATCTATGCATTTGTGTGTATTTCTGACCTGTATTAACAGCGGAAAAATTAACTGGTTTTTTGCTTTGTTTTTTTTTGTTTTTAAGGGCTCACAGTTTGTCTCCAACAGATCATCTGGCAGCATTTTACTTGGCACTGCAGCTTGCCATATCCAGACAGGTTAGTCGTGTTTTAAAATTGTAGCCTCACCCTGTCATATGAAGATTAGAATTTGAATCTGTTGATGGATATAGATGAAGATTTCAATTAAAAACAAAAAACCAAGCAAACATCATTTTCCCTTGTGCGTATATTTGAAAAAACCAAACCCGAAATATTCTCTCTGAACACCTTGAGTTCTGCCACAGTATTTCCAGCTCTAGGATCAGAAATAAGACATCAGTCATTAAATTTCTTTATTTCAGCATTTATGTTGCTGGATGAAGAGAAATAAAAAAAGAAATCCATTTTTACCCTCTTTCTATCTATTATGTGGTGTAATCTCTGCTCAGACTTTTTATCTGGAGAGTAGGACTCTTGAATCTAGTCTTTGATGATCTTGACAGATCTCAAATCTCCATTACCTGCTAAGATCTGTGCCTTTTCTGAATCCTTGTAGGAGGTTTGGTTATTGTGAACAAAACTGCAAAATTTTTTTTAAGAAAACTGGAAAAATATTTTAAAGCTGTAAAAGAGATCAGAGCTCAGTCCAGCTTATGCAGCTGTTATATTTAAGGGATTTAGGATTCTACCATCTATCACATGAATTTGGATAATGTGGAGCTGCTTTGTATATATCATGGTAAGTCTTTTCCTGTATCATGTTTATTTTAGGAAGTAGTTTTGAGCACAGTAGTTTACATAGTCTAGGTGACTATTTTTCATTGCTAATGAGTAGCAGAGATATTGGGCTGTGTCACAGAGTGGAATGGATTGTCACTTTAATACCAGAAAATATTTTTCAGTGGCAGGCTATGACTGTACTTCTGAATTTCAAAATTCTCATCTTGCTTAATTAATTTGCTTTTCTTAACAATTAGTGTACTTATTCTGAGCAAAAGCACATACAGCTGAGGAGATTGTTGCAGTCTAGCTGTACATTTTAGTTAAAAGTACTACAATTAAAATATTCTCAAAATCATGCAGAAATACAACCAATACTTGAAAAAGCATAGTAAGTGAATGTTTTTAAAGAGGTAAAGGCAAGTGTTCTACTAAAACATGTATCTTATTTTCAAGGGTTAGTATATTATTTAATTGTTACTGTTCACTGTAAGGCATCAGGTCCTTTTTAAACTTCTGAGTAGTGTCTTACAGTAGTTTATAGAATTCTGCATGATATCCAGGTGAATATTTTGAAAATTTTATGGACATGAAATCAAGTAATAGGCAATAATTCTAATTGTGGTGCTTTCTTCTTCTGCCCTTTTTATTTATTTACTTTTTTAATCAGATACCAGAAGCTTTGGGATATGTTCGTCAGGCTCTGCAGCTACAAGGAGATGATGCCAACTCTCTCCATCTTCTTGCGCTCTTGCTATCAGCCCAGAAACACTATCATGATGCTTTGAATATCATTGATATGGCCTTGAGTGAATATCCAGAAAATTTTATGTGAGTGAATGTCATGTTTGCCTTCTACACTTTCTCTCGTATTTATTTTTTCCTTAGGTTCTCATCTCATTCATTCCAACAGGGGATGGATTTGAGGATTCTGTTGTTATTCTTGTTTTGTTACTTTTTTTTCCCCTCAACAGTTTTTTCCCTGCCCATTTAATGTAAGTCTGCTTTTTATTAAAGCCTTGTTAAATAGGGATTAAGGATTTGATTTTGGAAGGGAGGCTAGAGCTGGATAGTTGATCTTACTTTGTTTTTTTCCTGCAGATTCTTTGTTTAGATAATTTCTTCCTGTTGTGTGCTTCAGAGTAATATCTATCTTCTGTTTTTATGCAATACTCTAAGAAGGATAAACAAGACTTTACTATTAGCCAGGATAGATTTATCCCATCCGACTTATAACTCTATGCATATTGTATGGAATTTATTCTGTAAAATACATCATAACAGAGATTCTCCTCTTTTGCCTGTATCTGCCTGTGTCAACCAGTCATTTGAAGTTAGCTGATGCATAACTAAACAAGTGAACTGGGAGGAATATTTGGTAGATGTTCTCTTAAGAAAGAAATCATGTTCTTAAAAAAGAAATTATTCTTTGTGTTTATTCTTTGTGTTGAGTATGTACATTTGGATTTTTTACTTTTGTAAGGGTTTTTATAATTATTTATTTTCTTATGAAACTCTATTCTTATGATAATCTAATGAAATTCTTTATACTGAAATGTTTCAGGGACAGCTTCCATTAACTTCAAGTGTTGCATTCTGATGGTTTCCCAACAGTCACTAATGTTGAAATCCATAGTATTACAAGTGTCCTTAGTGCTTATTTAGAGAATTTTTGAAGTATTGCAATCTTAGCTGTTAGATGACTGGCCTGTATCAAAAATTGTTACTATATCAACACACCAGAAAAATATGATTTCTTTAAGAATTATTAGTTTGAAAATAGAGATTATAGTCTTTTTTTCTTACTGTTGTTTGACATGTCGTGCCTCTTTTTGGCTGTCTGTATAAAGTACTGTTGCCTTTTTAACTTAGATATCTGACCAGGACCAGTGTTGATATTGCCTCTTCTCAGAACTTCTGTGGCTCACAGACAGTTCTGTGCAACTGATTTTGTGGACTTTTTCTGTTTCTCACTTCCTAGTTTATAGCAGTTCATCTCCCAAACCTGTCTTTGCTTTCCTCAGGTCTGAGAGATCTGTCAGTAAGTCATGGTTTCGGAGGCAATTGAAGTAACAGCTACCTAATCTTATACCCTATTATTGTTAAATAAGTTCAAAACCCCATGATCTGTCTGTTCTTGTTCCATCTTCTGCCACTTAGTGGCAATGTAAATGACAAAGAAGCTGCTGCTTTATCTCTCAGAATAATAATAGACTAGAAGAAGTATTTCTGAAACTGTTCCCCCTGTTGTACTAAGAGACCATAGGATCATTCAGTAAAATGTTTAAAATTACTTTTGTGAGCATTCTGAAGATTTTTTTTGGTTTTTAAAATATGGTTCAGGGCCTTTTCATACGTGTTTATAACTGCATCTTGTGGTTAAACGTTTGCCTGAGTTGTTTTAAAAAGTACTGATTTTTCTATTAATGTATGAAATCTGTCTATTAATGTATGTGTGCATATTAATCATACGAGTCATAATAGTAGTTCTAAATTGTTAGTCCTGTTATATAATACAAACACCATGGTGATACAACGTACTATGTTACAACCCACTGGTACAGATAAGGGAATTTGAGAGGAGTATCTTGGCAGTAGGAATTGCCATCAGATGTGGCAACAACTGCTGCAGAATCCAAGGTGAAACATAGCTATATATATCTCGAGACAGTCTTTTAGTCTTGTTTTTAGAGCTGTCAAGTTACTTCTAGCTCCCAGAGAAGTCAAGGATATGATTGAGATTTCTTATATGCTTTCTGCAATTGATACTGACAGCTAGACACACGTATCTGGTCAATAATACAAATTTGGATTGATTCTTTCACGTAACTGTGTTATTTTTGCAAGGATTTATCAGTAAAACCTTGAGTTTACAATCTTGTAAATGATATCTGGTGCTCTTGAAATGGTTGATGACTTGTGTGTGTGTATATATGAAAATATAAACCACAGGTGCTTAGTGTCATGTTGATTCCATTTTCTTTTTCTCCAACTTGTGTAAACAATACAGTCTCAGAGTACCTCCTGACTGTCTGGGAAGAGATCCTCTTGTGTTCCTCTAAGGCTTGAAAATTTTTAGATATTCTGAAACATTTGATTATTTGCCTATGGTACCTTATCGGCTTTTGTAAGCACTTCAAATATCATCATATTTATCTTTCAGTTACGTCTGCAATCCCAGTAAGCTAAACAGTACAAGAGTTTTCTTGGTACTTTCTGTATTTCTGTTAGAATCCATTACCTCAGCCTTAAGCAAAATGATACTTTGGTGGCTATGCAGCACAATAAATCTCTATACTTGGAAAATATTAAAGTAAAACATAGGGCTTGTGATTTATGTTATTTCATATTCCTTTTATTATTATTCTTATCCTTATAACTCTGTATGCTGCTATTGTATTACCGCACCGAGTGCTGTCCTGCCCTGTTCACAGCCTTATGTTCTTTCTGTTTGCTTTTCTTTGAAAAGAACTTAATTTTTCTGAAGTTTGCAACACTACATCTTTGTAAAATGGCAAAGGTTGCAAGGAAGTCATAGAATACACTGTGAGTCATGCTGAGAGGTGGATACTTTCCAGCACTCTTCTGTTGTAATCAATTAGTAAATATGTGGTCTGTCAGTTTTTAACATTTGAAAATCTGGTGCACTCCTAGAATTCGTGTTCAGTATTTGATGCATAAAGCAAGTATACCTTTGTGTCTTATATTAGTGTAAACCTTCCTGTGCTATAAAGGTAGAAACTTGCTGAACAAATATGGCCAATCAGATAAAGATTTTGTCCTATGCACATCTAGGTCAGTAAGTAGAAAGAAATTCCTTAGAGCCAAATTCTGTCCCATCAATATCTAAAGGAGTGGAAGCAATGAGCAAACATCACATTGTGCTCTTAGCAACAAGGTACAGCTTTTTCTTTGACTAGAGTTGATTGTTCTTCCTTTGTTTGTTACACTGGCAGCATTAATATGCAATCTGCTCTGAGACCTTAAGGGGTATTGGAGAAACTATTGGTGAAAATATAAGAAACCTCTAAAATGGAAAACAATATGTACTAATGTTTTCCAGAAATAATCAAAATGCAAGGTATTTGTTAAATATCTATTGCACTATTGGTTCAAATTTTTTGTAAGCTTAAAATTCTAGGTTGTAACTGCTTTACTTATAAACCAGTTAGCTGTGTTTTTCAGAGCAATATAATCAATCTACTGTTAAATGCTAGCTAACCCACAAAGCCTCCTGAAATCTGAGGGTGCTTCCAGGAAAAAGAAGGTCTCAAGAAAAAAGATTACTTAACAGATTGATATTACCAAAAAGATTGTGACTACTCTGTTTTGGTGAGATGGGTTAGGAGTAAGGTGCCAGCACCAAAAAATCTGAATAGTGAATCTCAGTCAGGTCCTACTGCATTTTAATTAATCTAAAATTACACTGTTTTTCCCCACCTTTATTAGACAACTTATCCCTGTAGGAGAAATGTGAAGTTCACTTCTTCTCCAGCTTGACAGGATTTGACCCCACAGATAATGCAGCTCAGAGTTCTAACCCTGAAAGTATGTGAGAGACTGGATAAGATGATCCATTTCTCCACTTGAAACAGAAGCATGGGCATGTTGCCCTGAATGCAAAGAGAGTAGGCAGGAAGGAGGCACAATATATTCTAAATTACTAGAGTACTTAATTGTGAGTTGCTTGGGTTTTCCTTGAGTTTTATTTATTCTAATCCATTGATTGTCTACCCGGAAAGTATAAGCAGTCCCAGAGGTGTGCATTACAGTCTGAAGGTGTGTTCAATGTGATGCAAGGTAATGGTGGTTGTGTTGCATTGGTTCATATTGGGCTTGTATATTTTGTGCAATATATATAATACAGCTATATGTGCAATTACCTGAAGAGCCTTATTTACAAACTCCTTTCCGTGTCTTTTTCCTATCTTTTTATCTGCTTGTTACAGGAATCTATATCTTAGCAGTCCTTTGAATAATAAGAGATCTTGAAACAACACTTCTCTCTCTTTCTGCCTTATGGTTAGTCAGAAGTAGATTCTCAGTCAAGGGAGACAGTTAAGTTTCTTAATGAAATACTTGTGATACTGCTTTCTTAATCTTAGCTGTTTGGGGTTCCCTTGTTATTTCAAGCATTGGGACAGTTAAAGATAAGTATAGTGCCTGAAATTAGTGTAATTAGGCAGAATAAATAACATATTAATTGCTAATTTTATGCTGAAAATTGAACTGCAATGGATAGCAGCTGACAAGCTTTTAAAGTAGGAGAAGTAGGAAACAGCAGATGGGTTATTTGAGGAGTGCAAGCGTGTTATTTTAATGTTAAGTACACTCAAAAAGGAAAGACATATGGTAACAGGTTTGAAGACAACTGAAGACTAAGTTCACAGTTTAAACATTTACATTTGTTGAAGTGTGATGGAAATTTTTTTTTCTTCCAAGAATATTTCACAGAAGCATCAGACCAATGTGTCATTTCTCTGAAAACTATTAAATCCTTTCCTTCCTGACCCTCAGGGGCTCTTTTGAGCTACAGTAGATTTCCTAGAATCGCAGAAGCTTTTAGCATCCCTCTCAGTTCATTGATTAACAAACTTGTTTCCTTCCTGGAATTGTCCAGGTGGGCATAACAGAAGAGCTGGTTGGTACATGCAATATATGATGATACATACACTGATGTTTTGTGAGACAAGGGTGTATTTATCAATTAAAGGGAATAGACTAAGCTATTCTGTTTTCCCTAGGTCTGTTTTAGTTGCGCTACAGTGTGTGGTGCTGATTAAACTTGCACTTTTTTACCTTTTTCCTAGATAAATAGAGTACTGAGAATTACTT